GGTCAGTTTTCACGAGCTCCAATATCCTAAGTTTCAACCACAACATCTGCCGTTGTCGATTCAACTTTGCTTTTGTTCGTGAGACTTTTGCTTTGAGTCAAGTTCTATATAAAAAGAAAGACAGAAAAACTTTATATATTAAGCACTGTGTGTTTCGATATCAAACATTACATATTTCAAACAAACATTCTATCCTATGTATGATAATAATAATATTAATCTGTTTTTGGTAGTAGATATTATGTAAATTTGTGATATAAATAATTACCTAACTGAATTAATTTAGTTCGTCCTAGTACCCATTAGGTAATACCAGTTTATGTTACGTTTCTAATTAAAGAATTCCTGTGAACCGCAAACCGCAAACAGTGGTCGACCATGTCATTATTACAGTTTTTTTGCTTTATAATTGTAAAGTGACTTCTATATCTGCCGAATTCGTTTTTGAATTAGGTACTCTAGTCTTGCTTATAACATAAGTGTTAGCTACATTTGCATAGTTGCGTATTACCATAAATATAATTGATCTTGTTTTGGGTATTATAGTCCAAATCCTACTTTTTCATCATCATTTGAGATATTGATCGTTCCCTACTACGTACTACGTCTATTTGTGCATGTATGGTTAATTTTTTTATTGAATGAAAATGAAATGGTCTTTCTCCGTGCGCTACCGGTATAGGCTAGCGTCATGCGAATGGAGGATGATAGGATAAGCATGAAGTCAGCTTAGTCAGCTTAGTTATTGGGAATGTACTGATTATTTACGATATTTTGCGTGGAGATCGACCTGAAGCCATTACTAACAACTGCCTTCCCCCCTGTACATACTTATTAAAAATATAAGCAAGTATCCACATTCGTAGTCGACATGTTGCTATATAGATAATAGGCAACGTTATTGAAATAATTGGGGTGAGTAAAATTTTACCTTACAGAATGTTTGAAGTTTCCATATTTTTATTGTTGCTTTAATTTAAATAAATAAAGTCCATTTTATGTCCAATTATGTCCTCAAACTTATATTTAAATAATGCAATTTAAATATTATTCTGAGGACATAATTGTATTAACTCCAAAGCCATTTAAATGTAGATAAAGTATCATATTTCATATATATTGTTTATATAAGAGAATGCTGTTTGTTCCGTTATGTTTTGTTCTCATATATATATCTGTTAAAAAATATAATGGAAATCTTTCTATTTCAATTACCTTACCAATTATTAATCTAATATTCTTAATTTTGCTTTTGTTACTTTTAGGCTAATAAAATAATACTTCATATTAACTAGTAAATTTAAAATAAAATAAAACTACTACTGACTACGTATTTACCTGCACGATATCCATCACTCAGTCCATTACAAATGTTGAGACATCTTTTATCTCTTCTCTCTTCTCTCTCTCTCTATCTTGTTACGACGTACGCATACATCGTAACAAGAACATAAGTATGTCGTAACGTTGTGAATTAATTATTACATATATAGTTAAAAATTATAACTAAAATTATTTTAGATACACATATAAAAAAAATAGATTTGTTGTTTATTATGTATACACTATTGCCTACAAAAAGATAAGCCAGGATCGTTCACTAAATATGTCTATAATAAAAGATAATGTATCAGTATATTGGATTAGTAAAGAACGGTTACTGTATTTATCGTCAATCCGGTATCGTTACTTGGACCGTAGGGTCTTGGTCATGCGCCGTATTTGGGTGGACAACTCGGTGACTCATTCGAACAGTCACCTCGAGCATTGCATTTTGCAGTCCCACGAAAGCTTTTTGCAAATGCGACGATTGCACTTAAGGATAAAGTAGAAGAAATTTATGTTAATACTAGATTCTGCCCGCATTTTTGTACGCTTGACCATGATTGACTGAAGTAAAAACCATATGTCGTTTCCTTCTTAAATGGTAGGTAATATTACAATTTCATGACGGTTTATTAAGGAGTGAAAGCATTACAAAGAACAAAGAAATTGACATTTATATTAATATTACAACTGCATAATTTTCTGCTTGTCAGTCCATTTATTTATTTGATACTATTTCTCGATGATACGGCTGAACGCAATTTAATGAAATTTTAATGTAAAGGTTGTATGTATTATTTGGATGGACATAGACATTTGTTTGAAAAACAAGGCGAAGTTGTCGCTATCAGCTAGTTTGTAATAAGACGATTAACAAGTTAATTAATTTATGCTCTTTGAAATTAATAGTTGCATTTTCCATGTTACTGACGTGGAAGAGTTGGTTTCGTATTATTAGATAGATTGGACATAGAGAACATACAGAGATCTGTAATATATAATTAATTTAAAGATGGTTTTAGTAGTTTTTAATCGCATAAATTTTATTCGTATAAATTCACACAGCTGTCGCCCCATTTACATTTGTATATATTGAAATAATGTTAATGTCTACTTGTATCGCTTACATATTATATTGCGCTTGATCTTGTACATAATGTTTTAATAGGCATCCGATCCAATGTCTGAATTATTATCCATTCATATATATTAACACAAACTTCAGGCAGTATACATAATTACGCCAGACACGTGGACTTAGTAACAGGTAAACCAATTTTTGTATAGATACAATTGTTGTATTTTTAAGAATTTCATTTTACACAAAACAACATAGAAATAGGTACCTTGATACTGTTCAAAGAAAAATCAATAAGACCCTGACAACGAGAAAATAGGGTTTGATAGATGATCATTCCTTAACCCTCGCGGTCTACAGTGTCTATAGGAAAAGGTGGTTATAAATTTCATGTGCCACGACATTTTTGTTATAAATGTATTCTGTCAGATTAGATATGGAAACAGAATGACAAAGAAATACATTATGTATATTGCCGTGACCTTTAGAAATGAGATTTTTTACATTATTATTTTAACGAATTTAAATAAATGTTTATTATTTCGTTCGTTATCACTTAGGTTCTGTTGTACCAAATCTGTCTAAAAACGATCACGCGTTTTATTCAACGTATATTCAAGTAATACATTGGTACACGGATCTTCAACTATATACCTGTTTATTTGACAATTTATCATACTACTAGTAAATGAACCCATCAATTAATTAAAAATACACGCTAGTGCAGAATTAGATAAAACGAAATACGGTATTACTAATGTAAATTGTATATAATAATAGAATCTGAATTAGTAGTATTATAGTTTAATGATCACCGTAGATCTATAAGCCTTTATACCGTTTAGAAAACATTATAATAGCGCAATTAGTCGAGAAGAATAAATAAAACTATTGATTCTTCTTGACTATTTGCGCTATTTGTTGCAATGTTAATAAATTAACTGATAATATGAATAAGTTCAAGAGAAATAAATTGTTTTGATGAAAATCATTGGTCGTTGGCAGTTTATAAAAATCGTTGACGTAAAGTAATACGTACAATCACCTTCAACAAAACACCTGTAGTTACTACTTAGATGCATGTACGTATGTGTTGGTGTGCATAATGAACTTAACAATAGTCGTAGCTAAAGAATGTATGTATAAATTGCTTTTATGGCAAAATAACGCCGCGCTACTTTTTAGAATTATAACAGTACAGGTGTGAAAATTACTGAATAATAAAGTTGGGATTATTTAATTTGAACTAACATCGTATACTGAATGTATTAGATTCATAATATTAATTAATCAAAATAATCAACCGATATAAATGAAACACCCATATTAAGCAGAAATAATCGTATGAGTTTCTCCACTCCACTAGGCTTGAACTACAATACCATTAAACTTTGTAATCTAAAAAGTTCTGAGACATATGAGAATAAATATTTTAGATCACAAACTAATTTAGAATTGATCAAATTTTAAAGATGTATACTTTACAGTAATTGTTTAAACCAGAAGTAGAAGCATTAACGCTTACATGGGTTTTACATAGGAACTTCTGACGAAAATTGAAAGAAATATATATTTTGAAATCAATATTTATGTTTTAATATCTTGCTTGGACTTATTGACACCATTTTTATTAAACTTAATTACTTTTTATTCATTTTTGGTTTGTTAATTGCATTTTTTCCTGCTCTGAAAGCATTATAATCCGCGATATAATTATTAACCTCGCAGGCCTCATTGACGTCAAGCCTGGTTAAAAACATTTTCGTCCAATTTTGTTGTGACTAAAACGGGTTTTTAAGTGTATAATGTAACATATATATATTACTAAATTTAGTATATTAATTTATGTACTATAAAAGTAAATGCTTATTGAGATGATATTTCCCCATGGTATTTCCCTCAAAAATCGGATTTTATTATTACGTCAATGTACATATTAGGCCTATGTTATTATGTCGATGACTGAACGATGACTTTTCATAAATGGAATTATTATATTATATGTCAAGTATATAACTATACGTTTATACTATACTTTTAACCCCTAAGATAGCCTAGATTGTTTCGTCATATTTAGAAAATACATAAATAAATCTACAGTTCTTATAAAAGAGGTAACAAACAATAGGGTGAGTACAGTAACTCACAACAGGAAACTAATAGATTTAAAAACAGGTAAACTCAGGAACATCATTATTAAAGTATGCAATTAATAAGAAACAAAAATTTATGTCATGGTTGAACCAGTTTAATATCGTCCTCGATTCTCAATCTGCATCACATTACACAAATAATACTTTGTCATGTTATCTGATCTATGATTAAACATCACGAAATTACTTGTGACAACTGTCACGCGGTGCTCTCTATGATTGTTTAAATCAATTATACATCACATACCGATTTCACTTTCTCATACCAACGGAAAAACACGCTAACGCGACATACAGATTACTTTTTTTTATTTGGTGACAGACAGCTAAAATGTGGTTTATATTAAATATTAGTTTCTAATATCGCTCACGTTTTTTATTGGTTTCGATCTGTCACGGGGAAGGGGTCTGACATTATATTTTTTTCTTTTTTTTCTTTTCAGTTACATTTGTACGGGCCCATGTAGTCTTTCACTGGGATGGTGATGACTACGGATGACATTCGTTTAGTGATTTCCCTCTGTGAATCGTGTTAGTGAGTGCTTGATAGTGTAATAGACTGCTTTGGTCAGTCTTTTTAGTGTTGTCAGTGATGTGACAGTCTATGGAAGTGTCAGGGTATCGGAATGTTCACGAAGCACGGCAAGGCCGCTGAGCGGTGCTACCCTCATTTGCATAGGGGTCGAAAGAAGAAAAAACCTGCCCCTCACACACCGTGGAAGTACTTGATGAATTGCCCACTCGTTAGGAAATGTTTTGGTACGGTATTTATTTTATTTATCATTTCGTTTATTTTTATGTTTTTAAATTATATTAATTTAAGTGGGGAACTGACAGGTATCAATCGTAAACATGTCGTTACTTCTTAGGGACAGTTATTAAATATTGAAGTTAATGCATAAAACATTACATTACCATTATATATTGATCATTGGAAAGTTCCGACTTTAATCAAGAGTTATCTAATAAATAAATAAACACAACATAAGTAGAATAGAAATGGTGATTACTTGATACAATAAATCAATGTTTTTGTATTAATCATTTGTGCGGGAAACAGATGGATTATATCGTTAAGGAAGGGCAAACTTGGATTCATATAATCCTCAATTATGTTTTGTTGAAGTTGGCGATATCAAATAAATTTCAGTATTGCTTGATATTGGATGTAATTTGGAGGAATCTAATCAAATTTAGTTAATACCTTAGCTGAATAATAAGTTGATATTTTTTATAACGAGAATGGATTTCATAATAGTCTTTTAGTGTACTTAGATCAATTTGTTATATTAAAATGTAATAAGGATTGTGTATACGTTTTGAAAAACTCTGAGAGAGCAGAATATAGTGATACAATATGCTAATCGTCAGAAATTTACTAATTCATTGTACAAGACACGCAATGAGAAATAATGATTAACATTCAAGGCAACTTCTAAATACATATATGAAAAAGTTTATTAGTCATTAAAAAGTGTGAAAATTTATAATATCTATACATGATATTTTGAATATACGCAATTTTGGTTCGAATATTTTTCTAGAGAAATATTTAAAAGTTACACCACGAAAATATTGTTTCTAAACATGCGAACTAGAAAAAAATATTTAAATGAAAATTCCATCGTTATATGAAAACGAGATTGAAAATTGGAATTGCAAATTAACCCTCCAGCGGAAACTGAGACCAAAAACACGAGTACCTACTTATTAAATCAATTAGCTTTTGAACCATTGAGTTACAGCGGTATGGAGGTTAAAATTTCAGGTTCTACATTTGCTCATTTTAACAATAATATACTTAATGTATGGATTTCAGGCCACCAAAAAAGAATTTATTATGAATAACTCAATAACTACTGGCTAGATCTTGATAAAAATTATGTGCCAATTGAGGTTAGGTTTGGACACAAATAAAATTACTTCGTAGCTCTTCCTTTTTTCAAATATCTCGAAATATTGTATTAATTATATTTTGGATAAAAATTTTCTCATAATAATAATAATTATATAATTAAATTTTCGCATTCAGAGGTTATTAAAACATAAGTGGTCTTGGACAGTGCTTCTCTCACGTACCTTAGATTGTGGAATACCTGCCGAGGTTTGCTCGAGAGATAGGGGTTGGGTACATTAAGTTGGATATATTAAGGTTTCTTAAGGGTCGGCAATGCGCATGTGACACCACTGGTGTTGACATGTGACACCACCATGCGTCCATAGGCGAAGGCGGTAACCGTGTACCATCAGATGGGCCGAATGCTTGTTTGCCACCTACGTAGTATAAAAAATATCATACAGTTTTCTTTTCTAAATGTGTGTTACATTTACAAAGTAGTTTCGTTTACAATATTTATTGGTGAGGTGTGTCTATGACAGAAATCACTGAATCGACGGCCGATGAACGTACCCGACCTTCAGCGGCATTCCACTGGCACGTCGACGCATCGAGCAACAGGTTGTGAATTTGCAACCAGTATCGTTCATTGTTGTACTGCTATTAGTAGTGTTTTTTCTTTTTTTTAAACTTCTGTTGGTACCGATAGCCAATTACTTTTGTCTTATTTTATTTTAATTGACTCTCACAAAGCACACCGTGAATTCATTGTCACTATACCTACGAGTATGTCCTTAATATGATTTAGTCACGGTATATTATATAATTAATAAATATTAAGCTTTCGTCTTCGAGTATTAATAAAAATGTATAATCACCTAATAAACGAATGTATTGTTATCTTAAAAGACAAGCTTATGTTCCTCAATTGATCTCTAGATTTGTTGAGTGGGTTCACCTGTTGCGCTTTGGCAATGACAGCCAGTTCATCTCCGGTTGGCGGTTTATTTCATAACGTTACATTAAACACAACCCGAAGATCAGTCCGCACTATTTATATAAAATATACGTTTATATTATGTTTTTGCCTATTGTCTATAGTAATGGATAGTAGACAAAAATCAGCACACGCTTGATCTAACATATGTTATCTTATAACAAAAATGTAACTGGTCGTTGTACGTAGAAAGTATACGAGAAAAACTATTAAAACTTTATGCTCTGTACGGTCTAAGGATCTTTGCCTGTTCCATCACTGGAAAGGAGATGGACGAATATGGGGAAAAAAAAAGCTAACGCAATGGAACATTTAAAAAAACTATTTTGTTTTTTTAGATTTCTTCTTTCTGGTGAATGAATGATGAATGTAAATTCACTTAAAATTTTGTGTTTGTTATACTAAGTGTAAAATAAAATATACGGGTACGAATTTGTGTATTTAACTAGTATCTACATATAAACAACGTAGAAGCATGTAAATAGATTTGTCAAGCTGACTTTGACATGTCAGACGGACAAAAGCTGAAGTTCAACATGCTTAGTACCTAACAAAAAAGAACTATTTAAATGATATGAATACATTCTCAATTAGACTACAGCTATTTTGAAAAATAAAGTAATTCTCGTAAAAATAAAAAAAAAACACGAGTTAACTGCTAAATAATGTAGTTAAACTAAATAATGTAGTTATTTCAGCAAAATATTCTTTTTCTGTTTAATATCCACTATGATATTAAATTTGGGAGGATGAAGTTTAATTATACTTGTAATGTACATATTAATTTATTATATCCTTCCGATTTATACATAGATTAAATTGCAAAAAGTTGCTTATATATCAGAATATAACGTAGTGAATCTTAAATATATTTTCTTTGATGTCTATATAATTGTTAACAATTAAACGATTAGACGCAAATTTGTAATATTTTATTGTTGAATTTTTTTGCTTCATACTAGAAATAGTTTTCTGAGAAGTATTTAATATAAGAAAAAATCTCACACAAAAAACTCTTACAGAATATGTCAGTTTGACATAATATAAATGAACACTACAAGAATAAAAGCAATTAAAAAAAAATTGAGCATTACTTATTGAAAACTTTAATCTATTCACACCAGACAAATATAGGAAACTTAATTACGTTGAGTAACTGAAGGCGCCTTTGCCAATACTGTAAAAATTACATTTTAACGAGATCTTAATGTTTTCGCTTGTGGAATTTATTACCTTTGGCGCCAAACATTGTTGGCATTCAGCTTTAGTTAGCGTTTTTGCTTCTAATATGATATCTTATCTTAGATATAAAACTTGTATTAGAATTATAATATTATATAAAATTTATATTTAAAACATTTCCTTTTCTTATTTTTTGTCTAATTGTGAAAATAATAACAGAATATTCTATTTAAATGTTTTAACTAAGTTAATAATGTATGATTCATTCATTACGATTGACAACGATGATTAGTATCTATACATACATTAGATACATTAGTATCTATAAGAGTGCTATCAACCCCTTCTAGTGAGAATGGATTTTTTGACAATACTAATACTTAGATGACGTTTTAGACTTCTAAGTAATTTAAGTGCTATTTTTAACCGTCTGCCAAAAGGCTGCTAAGGTCCCCTAGATATACCATACGATATTTACTTCAGTCTATAAATTCATTTTAATCAATAGGATCTGCTCCCTATTCTGAAATAATTTTTTGAGTATTGGTGTTTTGTTTGGGGCAGTAAATATACTTTTTTTATATTATATTGTTACTATAGTCGATACATAGGTGGGTATTCAATATTGTATATACACCTACAAAATGAGATTTTATTTTGTGGAGCTATTCCTAGAAAGCCTGAGTGTGTTATTACTTTTTATTATTTTATATTTCGTTCCAAAGTTGGTTTACCTATTCATAATACAAATGTAATTTTTAGTCGCCACGGAAATTGGTATCTACACGTGACTTCAGGTGACCTACATGTTATTGACATTATATTGGATAAAACCTTTCTGCTATTTTCCTTACCTCTATATTTTCGTTCGGACCAATGGCCCGAACCTTTTCTGTTACTAAAAATACATAAGCTTTAATAATATTAGTCTTTTCCGTAATAACGAACAATCATGAAATATATATTAAACTCAAAAATGTGTGGTAAATAAAGGTGTTACTAGGCTACATACTTTAATGATAATCCAGTTGTACACATGTCTGTTATTAATCGTCCTGTATAGAGTATATATGCTAAGTAATAGCAAATTTTTTTATAATAATATATACCTAGTCATAATGTGAACAAGGACTATATATATTAGGTACTAGTATTTTTACAACTTTAGGCAATTTCGAAAAGTGAAATGATGCTTCAAACTTTTCTATGAAAATGTTATTACATTTTAGTTTTAATTCTATAATTGTATCTATGTACTATTTTTTATTTTTGCTCTGTATCAAATAGAATGGCTGAATGAATATATTGATTTTTTTTATAAATGGAATAGCACATTTGTTTAGCTCACTATCTTTGCACTATCCCACTTTGACTTGAGACAAAAAAAAAATATCTATGATATATTTTAATTAAAAAGTCGATCCATACCGTCCAGCATTATGCGGTGAGTTACTGTTATTATGTTACGTTTTGAAAGCATCATTGTTCTATTTTAGGTATATTAATATAACAACTTTCAAAACAAGGAATAGCAGCTATTTAAGCTTTTAGCTATTTAAAGAAAGAATTGATATAGTGAAAATTCTTTTTTAATTTCTAGAGCACAGGTTCTCTTTTGCTTACCTTCTAAGAACAGACTGTTCGGAAAGTATATAAATGGGAGTTGGGACAATGCAATCAACTCATGCATTCAAAGGTCTGGCGCCAGATTTGAATTTTGAATTATGCATGAGCCTGCAATAA